TTGGAGGTGAGACGGCCTCTATAGCGCGTTGACACTGTTGATGGAAGGGATTAAAGGAGTATCAGGTTATTTTAATTTATTGTTGAAGATGATGACTGCCCCCTCCCCCACCCGCATACCCTCCTCACTTTCCCACCCCAACCCTAGACCCGACACCACCGTTCAGCCCTTTGCCCTGGGCAGCGGAAATGGTTAGCTTCATCTAGGAGTTTGTGCTGAGGAAGGCGCAGGCAACCCTAGTCGGCGTAGAGAGAGAGAACCGCACGCAATCACTGAGCACGATTTCTCCCAACAAAAAAACTAACAATAATAGCGACCCACGCTCAAGAGGTCTCAAACCTCCGAAGTTTTGCCCCGAGCCTTGTGGCCCTGGCAGAAGTGACAAGGGCATTTGGGAAAGACAGAGAAAAATAAACTCGCTCCAGTGGCTGTACACGGGGCATTTGGGGCTATGAGAAAACGAGTTGCTTTTCTGCTTGAGTGATAAATGTTGCAACAGGCATAGCTATGTAGACGCAAACAGTTTTTAAAACCAGAGAAGCAGAGTTTGAAGAACCTTGTAAGGCTGAAAATAATAGCAAACATTTCCAACTTCAGGATGTTGTGATTGTTGGGAAAACTCTAGATAAATTACCCACACGGGGGAAATACTCAAGGTAAACGAGTTTGTGTTCTGAATCTCAGCTGCCGGGAATGAAAGTTACACTTTGAGTTTGAGGGTGATGTCTATTTGTTTCTCTTCCTTCTGTCACAGTCTCTTTCCCAGGTGAGTTAGCAGGTGGACTGTGATTTTTAAAACAATGAATTTGGGAACAAGGAAAAACAAATCTGGTGAAAGAAAATGGCCCTGGAAGAAACTGCCCTTCCAACGAAGATTTAAGTGACTCCAAAGTGATTTTCACTCTTTATTGTTCAAAACATCCACAGGAACAAACTCGCTAAAATGTCCAGGAATTAACTATCTAGAAAAAGAGAAGGACATAGTGTTTGCCCCCAAAAGAGAAGAAATTCACATCCCCATACTCTTCTGTTTCTAGGACAACTACATCTGCAGAAACATGTCCTCTTGTGGCGTTTTCTGGGTGGTTCATTTCTTCTTCACAAAGTGGACCCTCCTCTGCCCCTTGGAGGGTGGTCATCCGAGTTGCTGGCCCAGAAAGTCCTTTTCTTCCACCTTCTTTGTCTAAATGAATCTTCTCGGACTTACATTCCACTTTCAGATGAGAGAGGGAGGCTCAGATGTGCTCAAAAGAGAGAAAGTTGAGAAGGGAGGTGAAGTGGAAGTGAGGGCACCCCTACTCCCAGGGAGGCAGCCTCTGCTGCAGGAAACCCGGAGGTGGCCACTAGAACTGGTTAGGCCAAGGGAGCTCACAGTAAAAACAAGCCTATGTAGAGTAGTTTCTCAGGCCTTGCCCAAGAGCCACTCTGGAAACCCCTCTCTGCAACCCCCCACCTCTGCCCTGGACAAGGTGCTCAGCCAGAGACCAGACAGCAGGGGGTGAGGACTTCCCGATATATCACACAAAAAAAATTTAAAATGAACTATGTAATTTGGTTGACTCTTAAGTGTGTTCTTTTGCAAATGTATTTGACATACAGGGTACTGGGGTGGAGATGGGGGCAGGAGGGTGTGGATCCGCGTGAATGATCAAGTTTAGGATAAGAAGGGTGAAAGGGGCAAAATAAGGGCCCTTCAGCTTCTCAGGGCATGGTTAGAGCTAAATGTTCCTATTAAGAATTATGAATCTCCCAGCAGTGGGTGAGAACTTGCATGCGTTCCACCCAAATCCTTTTTCAGAATGCAAACCCCTAGGTCAAAAATAACAAATAAACAATAAAAACAATCTCGGTCAAAATGAATCTTTCCTGGATTGTCGTTTTCTGGGTATCTCCAACAGAGCTGAGAGGAAGGCTAAAAGGTTGGCTCTGGGTGGATAAGGCCTTGGTTCTTTCTAGTGGCCAGGACTTGACCTGAAACCTTTCCCCCAGTCGGCTCAACAAAGTTTCTCCCTCCGAGCCAACGTCCCTCTAGCAGGAAGCCCCCTTGGCCTTGCAGCCTGCGTCCTCATTCTGCAAACTCTCCCCGTTCACGGCTTCCTGTACATCTGCCCTTGTGGTTGGGGTCACTCCTCGCGGGCACTGTGGTTTTTGTCTGCATCTGGACAACTGGGTGTGCACCCGTTCATTCAAATAACTATGCTTGTGGACACTTCTTTATTCCTCAAAGTCCTCTATTAGTGTTCTTTTAATTCTCCGATGTGTATTCGGGTACAATTGCCTGTACGTTCCAGGCATAGTCAGGTGACTCAGCTTGAGTCTGAGCTCAAACGTGCGACCCCATGTCTGCATGGGGAGGAGGAGGTGTACACGTGCAAATGCGGGACTTTGGGTGGAGTGTGAGGTTGATATGGCTTTCGGTCCCAGGGCGCTCTAGGCCCCTCTTAAATACCTTCATCTGCCCAATTTCTTAACCTTTCAGAACAAGGAGGGAGACCCTCCGCGATCCTGCGCCCTGCCACCCTTTGGGAAGGATAGGACCATCATCTAGGACGTCTCCCGGTGGACTGTGGCTGGGCTGGGCTGAATGGGTGGGCGGAGGTCTCGAGGTCTCCTCCTTGCTCTCGATTGCCCCCATCACCCAAGCCACCTCGAGGTCGAGTGCGCCCTGGGGCTCTGTCTGGGGAGGTCATGGCGTCTCGAGGCGAATGATATGCACGTTTTGGGGCAAAACTCTCCTAGGCCTCCCAGGAGCAGCTGTATTTGTAACTTGGAATTGGCCTGGGCCCGCCTCCCTTGGCCCCTCCTCCAGCCCCTACCTCAACACGCAGCGCTCAGCGGGCTGCCAGAGTGCGCTTCCCGGACTACCCCCAAACACCCTGGGACCTCACCACCCCTCAGGGTCCCTGGGGCATCCTAGGGGCCTGGATCTGGAAGAATGGGGGCCAACAAGAGTGGCCAGGGCTCTCCTGGGGGCGGTTTTGCCATGTATTCCTCCGCTAGAATTAGCCTTTCGGGGCCGCGCGCCTACAGGTTTCAGAGGCCAGCGGGAAGGCTGGCCACGGGTGTGTGGGGGTGAGGGGTGTGGTGTGTGTGCACGTGTTCGCGCGCGACTGGAAGCGGTTCCTTGTGCATTTCTAGAATCTTGTAGATGTGTTTTCTCGTGAGAATGATGCGGACTTACTGCTAACTTCAGGTCAGTTTGTTTGGAAAGGGAGAATGTCAGTCCGATGGTCGGTGGTTGTGTCTCTCATGAGCATTCGTACGTACAGAGTGAGGCCACCTCCCCTCCCCCATGCAGTCTCCCAGACCTGGTCAGAGGACCCAGGCCCCAGGTCGCTGAGGCCCTTGCTGTGCGCCCTGGTGCTCTGATCCTAAAGCCCAAGCTGCGCCGTGCCCACTTAGGGTCAGGGTGGAAAGCCTACGTGGGAAAGGGGGACCTGGAGAGCTACCCCCAAGTCCATGGCAGGGTGGAGTCCCGACCTTGGCATATTGGGCCCACCCACTTGGCATCTCCCTGCCCCAACCCCGTCTGGGATCCGTATTGGCAGTGCCAAGGGAGGGAGGAATGGTAAGGGAGTTGGGTCGGTACAAGACGGAAGTGAAGATGGAAAGAGAGAAAAAATAAACAAAACTAGGTAGGGACAAGGAGATGGGTGAGGCTGGGGTAGGGGTGGAGTTGGTGCTGCCTCGGAGAGCAGCGGCTTTTCACCCTGCTATAGGGAGGTGTGTTTGGCTGAGCTGCCCCCCCCCCAAATAAAGCTAATGATGTAGTAATTTAGGAGGGGGAGAGGGGCTGGGCAAAAGGAGAGAGGGGAGAGGATGGGGAAATGCGCGCCCCAAGAGCGAAAGCAAACAGCTGTGGAGGCGCTGCCCGCGACTCAGGCTTCCCAACAGGTTAGCTATACTGGGATCCACCCGGCATTTCGCAGGAAGGGGTGGGGGGAAGACAGAGCGAGAGGGGGAGAGAGCCTCACAAGAGGACAGAGGGAGGGAGGGAAAGAGAGCTGGGAGCCAGAGAGCGCACCGCGCGGCTTAAAAGGAGAGACTTACTAATGAATATTTATCCGCCGCTGCTCGGTGCTCCCGGCTTCCCTTACCTTTCTGCAGGTAAGATCCTCCCTGTGCCCCAGCCCCGGGGGCCCTCCTAGCTCCTCAATCGGGGTGCCTGTGGCTGGGTGGGAGGGCTCTCCGTCAGTAGGGGTGGGAGGGCGGCTCTATTCTGCGTTCACTCTGGGTGCCCGGGCATGCGACCCTGCACGACTAGGAACCGCGTGCGTGGGCTCCTTGTGTGGAATGAGCGTGAGCATGTAAGAGTGTGTTTGTGTGTGTATGCGAGAGAGAGACAGACTATGCGCCCGCAAGCAAGCGCGCCTGTTTCTGGCGCGCTCTGGAAACATTTTCCGACTTTTCACTCGGACGCCCTGGATTTCTCGCCTTTGCCTTTCTCTGCTTCCCCTCCCCCTTCTCTCGCCCTCCCCTCCCCCACCCCGGTCTACCCCACCCTACCCCACTCCTACCCCGGCTGCTGAGGCGCTCTTCTGCCGGCTATTGTACGGCTGGCGCGGGCTCCCCCGGGCCGCATCCCAGGCCTCTCATACAAGATGAATAGTTCTGTTTCCGCCGTAAACCCCTACACAAAGGCTGCCCGGCCACCGGGTCCCCTGTCCCCCTTCCTGGGGACTTCGGCTTTTGAGGTGCTGCGGCGCGTTGTTTCTCCCTCCCTCAGGGCGCCAGGGCCCAGACCAAGGAGCTAAGAGTGATCGGGACTTGGGGGTACCGGGTGGAACTCCTTGGGGGCCGCTCGCCAGGCTTCCTGGGCTGCAACTCGGAGCCCAGAGACCCCCAGGGGAAGGGTGCCTCTTCCCCCACCACCACCCCAGCCTTCGCCTGCGGGAGGAGCACGGGGAACCCGGCCCAGCCGAGGGGGAAAGAGGGAGGGGAAAAGGAAGAAGGTCGGGGTGGGGCTGACCTTATAACCAGAATTATTTAAACGGACTTACCCGGCCACCTGTTGAGAATCCATGTGGGGTCGGCAGGCTCCAGAGTTACGCAAGGTGGACACACAAAACCAAAAGCCGGAGTTGGAAAAAGAAAATTCTTTTTCTCACCGGCCGTCAGGCTCTCAGCTCCGCGCTAGGATCGGGTGGCTGTACAACCAAGATCGACTTTACCCTGTCCCCCAACGCCCCCCTCATCCCACTGCTCCACGGCTGGGAGGGTCGGGACTCAGAGCTCGCGGACTTGGCGCTCAGGGCCAGCACCAGCAGCTCGGCTTAAGCCGGGGCAGGCTCTCTAAGCCCTGCTCAGAAGTCAAGAGCAGCAGCTCTGCTGCTCCTCGCCGCCTTTCATGCCGCGGCCGCTCCTTATTCTTGTGCCTCGGCCTCTCCCGGCCCCCTCGGACAAAACCCCCAGAGCCCGGCCACTCTCTTCCCGCTAAATCCCCTTCGGGGTCAGTGCTCTACCAGCACCGGGCCGCGCGCCTCTCCTGCCAGCCGTGTGGCTCTTAAAGAGCTGCACCCCTCCTCCGCCCTGCGCGATCCCCCGACCCCCGCCTCCCCTCCCCTCTCCTCCGGATCTAGCCCCCCACGCCGACGCCTGAGGTCCCTGCTGCCCCGACCGATGCCTGCGGACTCCCAGCCCCCTCCCCTCGCCTCCTCCCCTGAGCAGCCGGTGGGCCTGGCCTCGAGGCCACAGGGCTGAGTTCTACCCTCGCCTCAGGTCCCCTTTCTCACCAGCAGCGCCCACCCCTCTCTTCCCCGCCCCTACTTTAGCCCTCTGGGTCGATCAAGCCCCGGGCACCACCTTTGCCCAGCTCAGAGGTGATGCCTAAAGATTGCTAGTTTAGGGTTAAGTTAGGGGGTTATGGGATGGGAAATGGGGCAGGGCATGCTAGTGGAGCTAGGGAGAGAAAAAGGAAGAGGAGCAAACGAGATGCACTTGGAGGGCCCTCTGTATCCTAGGGCCTACCTGGCCTTTTGGCTCCTTCCCACGACCTCCAGAGATGCTCACAGCTGGCATGGGGTCCTGAGGTTACCAACCTGACCAGGCCCACTGTATGTCTGAAGGATCCTGGGCATGTTTGTGTTTGTGTGTTGGGGGATGGGGTCCAGAAAGTCCTGAATGTGGATCTGGAGCAGCCTGCTTCCCAAGCCCAGAGCATTAATTCCCCCCAAAAGTAACCCTTAAGGGTCCAAGAGCTGTGTATGCAAGGAGGGAGTGAAGGACCTTGACCTCCAACCGCTCCGGGAAAAGGGCATCAGAGGAGAGGAGAGACAGGAAGGGAAGGAAGGCTACTCTTCCTGAGGGAGGGTGTCTTAAATTTACGGGCCAGCCATGTCAGCTGCCCCACTAAGAAAAGGTGAAGTAGATGACTGCTTTGGTTTCCCTTGCTTCCAGAGCTCTGGCTCTCTGCCTCTCTGCCAGGCTGCCAGGCCAGACTTGCAGGGTGGTCCTGCCTATAGTACTTTTTTTGCTAGGCCTCCCTGGCACTAGAAGCCAAAGAAGGGATACCTCTGTTGAGGGGGAGTGCAGGACAGGCTGTGGTCCCCTGCCTTCCCTACTGCCCCTTGTCATAACATGTGACTGGGCTCTGTGAATGATGGAGGCAATGATGGGTTAGGGAGGGGAGCTGCCCACCCTTTCTCAAATCCAAGTCCTGGCACACCAGGTCTGGCTGTTCAGAAGGGGAACCTTGGGAAGAAGTGTGTGGCCTCTAGGTAGTGGAAGCCAAGGAAACTTGAGGTGATAGGAGGATGGAAGGCTGACCCTCAGCCACCCCATTAGTCCAGATGCACCTTTAAGGAACTGGAGTGATTGATTTGCAATTGGTCCTCCTGGGAAAGGTTGACAGTGCACTCCCTGGGCTGGATCCTTAGACAGCAAAAGCCTCTCCCGCCACCAGCCACCCTCCCCGCACTTCCCCCAACCGGTACGGCTCTCACCTCCCAAGTCTCCCGCCCCTCTCTCTTGGGGCTGGGTCACTGCAGGCATCTAGTCTGGGTTTGTGCCCATCTTCCTGGGCCTGGCAGTGGGAGGTGCCGTGGTTCAAGACAGAGTCAAACTTCCCTTGTTTGAGAATGTGGGGGGGGGGGGGGGGAAGGGCCTTTAGAAGGCGGCGGGGCTCATTAGGCGGAGCAGGGTGCGGAGAGGTGCGCGCCGCCGGCCCCTGAGGCCGCCTTTGAGCCGTCGGGGCGGCTTCATTAAGCTGCGCTAACAAGGCGTACAAATGCCGAGCCCAGCAGCTTTCTTGCAATGCCCGGCCTTAGCAGGGCGCCGGACTAATGAGGGTCACTCAAAGGGGCTGATCAAATATTCAAATTTCCCCGCACGCCAGGAACTTTTATGCATGGAGAAAGTTGAGGCAACTGAGCTGTGTTTACTGTCCGGGGCGACAATTGCTTGGAGCGCCAGTCCCCGGAGGCTAAGGCGGGGGCGGGGGTGCGGGGAGGGAGCAGTTGTTGTTGTTGTTTTTCAAAGGAAAGTAATCGGGGTCCTTGAAGGGCTTCGCGGCCTCCCCGCCTGCGTGCTGCGCTCCCCTGCGCCCTCCCAGGCCGCCCGCGCCAAGCGCCTCAGTTTGCAGCTTGCGGGGAGGCCCAGACTATGGGCCACCCGGCCAGCCCCCGCCTCCCGACATCCTGGGAGCCGGAAGGGGCGTTGCCCCCACAGGGCAAACCTTCCCCCGGCCTCCTGGGTCGACTGTTTAGAGCCAAGCAAGGCCAAGTGGGTGCAGCTGCCCCAACCCTCCGGATCCTCCTCTCCCGGAGGCCTGCAGACCCGTTGGCTTTCCCTGTAACCCAAAACAAGGAGAGAGTGGGAGGTCTCTCGGGCGTTTTCCAGATGTGGTTCAGACTTTCCCAGTGCTGGGATTGCGGCTGACATTTGTAAATAAATGCCAGTAGGTCCGGGTACAAGGAGAACACTCTCTAAACCCCCAAGACATCTTTTCTCCCTGCCCCACCTGAAGGCGATCTTTTCGATCCCCGAGGCCAGGATTGAAGCGGGGATGATGGCAGCAAGTTTGTTCTGCACAGGTGACCCGGCCTGTACGGGCGCCAAGTCCCAGATCCCGCAGAGTGGCCAGAGAGCAGAGAAGAGACGTAGGGGATCTGCAAGCTGATCTATCCACCCGAGACTCTCCGCTCTGAGCGACCTAGGATGCGGGCACCCTCCACGTGCCACCTCCTCTAGCAGTCCCCCAGGGTGCCTTCCCAGTCCTCGCACTGCCCTAGAGGTTGCTTGGTTCCCAGACCAGCGAGGAAGGCGGCGTGGGCCCTGGAACCCAAGGTCCCTCTGCTTCTGCTCCACTCCCCAGTGCCCAGCGCCTGGGAATTTGGGAGGGGAAGCTCTGGCGCTCCACAGCCCAGCTTCCCACCCAAACACACACTCAGACCCCTACGGAGCCTGCACCCACAGCCCGGCCAGGATCCAGTACGGCCCTCCGCTCTGGGACCAGCCGCCCCGCCTCCCTGCCCTGCTTTGCGGACTCTCAACTTACCGGCTCCAGGCGGCGGGAGTAGTGCTTCAGGCCAGAGTCGAGAGGCGCTGGCGGCGGCTGGACCGCGAGGTGGGCTCGGTGGGCTCGGTGGGCGGCGCCGAGCTCGGCTCTGCTGGGAGGCGCGGACAGCGCGGGATGCCACCCGCCCCACCGGGTCCCGGCGCACAAAGCTACACGCCTCGCTGCAGCCCTCTGCCCTGCTTGGCGCTCCGGAGCCGCGGTCACCACCCGAGCAGGCGGGGTGCGGCAGGGCGGCAGGCGCTGGGGCAGAGGCTGGGAGGGGGGCAGTGGGGGTGTCGCCAGAGTCTCAGCCCCACTTGCCTCAGTTCTCCCTGAGTGGCGATGGTTTTTGATTTCAGCGCTTTCGCAGAGCCCGCAGCACCTGCCCAGCCTCCCTCCGGGGCTGGCCCGGCAGTGGCAGGGAGAGGCCAGGTCGCCCCCACCCGGAGGCGGGGGTTTCGGGGACGGGGAGGGGACTGACCGGGTTCACCCGCCCGCCCGGCGCCTGGGTCCCTGGCTCCGGGGGATGCAGTTTCGGGGTCACGAGCTGCTTTCAAAAAGTTGAACACAATATTCGGAAACCCACCCGTAGGAATTCTCCCCCCACACGCGGCACAATACCCACTCCCCTCCCCTTTTTCATTCCTTCCTCCCCCGCTTCCTCCTCTGCCCCTTCCCCCTCCCACCCTTCAGCCTATAATCCTTCCCCTACGAGAGAAAGGGATCGGGAAGAAAACATGAAGTGTCTGTTTTTGAGTCCCAACCTTTGGGCTCTTTCTGGGCCCTCAGTGAACGACCGCCCAGAGCTTCTCAGCTGCAATGGAGGAGGACTCATGGCCGGGAGGGGAGGAAATATATGTGGAGTGGAGAGAGCACTGAAATGGGGCTTGGCAGGAGTGGAGAGAGCACTGAAATGGGGCTTGGCAGGTCTTCCCTTTGGAGGAATATTTTTCTGCCCCAGTCGTCGTGTTTAAGACCTGCTACCCCACGGCTGCCTCTGGCTAAGTGAGCCAGTATTGGCCCCTCGCCGGTCCCAGGGCCTCCCTGCCGCCGGGAAGCCTCCAAGGAGGCTTGCACTTGCCGGCTTGCTCTTCCCCTCGGCCCTCAGAGGCCTGGCACTGCGGGAGTCAAGGCCTAAGCAGGGCTCCAGCTCGGAGTTTAGGGGCTGGGACACTCGCAGCCCCAGTCACGTTAGGTTTCCCATTTAAATTCTCTCTCAACCTCTCTTTCTCTCTTCCCTCATTGAGATCACCAAAGTGGTGTGGACCCGGCGCCTTGCCCCCGGATCTGCATCGGAATGCAGAAAAGATCTTTTTTTTAAAAAAAAAAAAAAAAAAAAGTTTTGAATTCCTCAATGATTTTTCTTCTGGAAAGGCAGCTTAGGATAATTATTTCAGCTTTATTGAGGGCAGATTAGTTGAAGTCTGGGCGCTGCGTTTCAATACGCGTTGTACACGGGCCGACAATGTGGTCATTGTTGGCTACTGTGTGTGAATCTATTCAACATATACACTTTTTAACACCAAACCGAGTCCTGTCTAAATATACACAGCGCTCAGGGAAAGACGTCTCTGACCCCGACAAATCTGCGTAAATCACACTTCCATAGTTACAGAAGCCTCACAAAGGGAGGCCCGGCTCAAGATGCTGATTACATCTTCTTAAAAGCAACATACCTAAGAATAAATACCCATGCCTGGCCTGGGGGCTGTAGTGGCCAGAGACAGAGAGGGCCCTCTGTGTTCTATGGGCCTTTTGGGGTGTGTTTTAGGCTTTCAATGTTACTTTCCCTAGAGAAATTAGGCAGTTTTAAAATAATAATGGTAATTATTATTATTTTACAATACGAGCAAACAAGCAATTTCAGGCCTTATTCACTTCATCCGGGTGGCTGGCCTCCAAAGTTTGAGTGCCCTCTGGGGCTGGCAGGCAGGACCAGAAATCCTTCTGTTGTGTGGTGAGGAGTGGGCATCTGTGGGACTTTTCCGGGTCCAGAGGGCTCTTGGGCTTCTCGGCTCCCGCAGCTCCTCCACCACTCCTCACAGAGGCTGCTGAATTCTGGGAGGAAACAAAGAGTTGAGTTGCTTCTTAAGATGGAAAGAACTGTACTGTTTGGACTATTATTTTAAAATGGGTGGTGGGGGAAATCGAGGCTCCTTGGCTGGGGAGGGAGTAAAGAGAAGCCTAACTGATGAAGAGGGAGCTGAGGTGAATGTGGTCCATGGGCACCGATGGGGGAAGCAAGAGCGGCCTCCCGCACCCTGGGAACTGGGCTTAGGCTCCCTGGCGCCAGATACCCTCGGAATCCGGGATCCCTGGCTGGCGCCATGGCCCGCTGGGCCAAGGTCGGTGCTTGGTGGGCCCCATGATCTCATCTCTCCTTTCTTCCTTGCCACTATTAGTGCTCACATAGGCAGAAAGAGGCGACCCGACGTGCAAACCATGTGCAAACCGCGCCCGCTGGGCTGGTCAGCCGTCTTTCCTTGCCCGCCGACCTGGCCTATGTGGAGCCTGGGGGACCCTCTTGCCTCCCAACAAAATCCCCGCTCTAATTGCACATCCCATTCAACAACTCTGTGCCCAGGGCTTTTCGAATTTCTGGATCAACTTCTTTGGGGAAAAGGGAAGAAGGCGGCTCAGAGACAGCGGTAGAGAAAAGAAGTGAGAGAGGAAGAAGAGAGAAGAGAGAGAGGGGGAAGTAGCGAGATTAAGAGTTGCAAAGATAAAAAAAAATGTCTTTATCCCCCCCCCTTCTCCCTCCTTCCCTGCTCTCCCCCTCCCCCCGCCCTCTGGCTAAGTGGTAAAACCGTCCTTACGTTCTCGGTATTGATTGGCAGGGCTGACAGTGATTGGCAGTGGTTGCCGTGGCAACGCCACAACGACACGCCACAGACCAATAGAAAAGCGAAACAAAATGTTTCAATGCTGCACTCACTGTGGATTTAGGGGAGATATTATGAGGCTGTTGTCATTAGGGCGATTGCGGTGGAATCGCTGAATCTTGACTCGGCGGTGGTTGGCTCTCCCTCTCCTCTCTCCCTCTCTCTCTCCGTCTCGGGTTCTCTCTCTGCGCGCGCGCACCGGGCCGCTCTCCTTCCTCCCTCTCTATGTGGCTGCGCGGGTGTGTGTGTGTGTGGATGTGTGTGGGGTGTGGGTGTCCTTTACGCCCTTCCTCCTCCCCCTCCTCCTCCTCCTGCTCCCCCCTCCTTTCCTTCTCCTCCTCCCCCCTCTCCTCTCCCTCCTCCTGGTCCTCATCGCCCCTCTCCTCCTCTTCCTCCCCTCTCTCTTCCTCTCCCTGAATTTTCTCCTCTCCTCTCAGGTCAGTCCATGGTATTCCGCTCCCCCCTAGACCTCTATTCCTCCCACTTCTTGTTGCCAAACTTCGCCGATTCTCACCACCGCTCCATACTTCTGGCGAGTAGCGGCGGCGGGAACGGTGCGGGAGGCGGCGGCGGCGCGGGAGGCGGCAGCGGCGGAGGGAACGGTGCGGGAGGCGGCGGTGCTGGCGGAGCAGGCGGCGGCGGCGGCGGCTCCAGGGCCCCCCCGGAAGAGTTGTCCATGTTCCAGCTGCCCACCCTCAACTTCTCGCCGGAGCAGGTGGCCAGCGTCTGTGAGACGCTGGAGGAGACGGGCGACATCGAGCGGCTGGGCCGCTTCCTCTGGTCGCTGCCCGTGGCCCCCGGGGCGTGCGAGGCCATCAACAAACACGAGTCGATCCTGCGCGCGCGCGCCGTGGTCGCCTTCCACACGGGCAACTTCCGAGACCTCTACCACATCCTCGAGAACCACAAGTTCACCAAGGAGTCTCACGGCAAGCTGCAGGCCATGTGGCTCGAAGCGCACTACCAGGAGGCCGAGAAGCTGCGCGGCCGCCCACTCGGCCCGGTGGACAAGTACCGCGTGCGCAAGAAGTTCCCGCTGCCACGCACCATCTGGGACGGCGAGCAGAAGACGCATTGCTTCAAGGAGCGGACTCGGAGCCTGCTGCGGGAGTGGTACCTGCAGGACCCCTACCCCAACCCCAGCAAGAAACGCGAACTGGCGCAGGCCACCGGCCTCACTCCCACACAAGTAGGCAACTGGTTTAAGAACCGGCGGCAGCGCGACCGCGCCGCGGCGGCCAAGAACAGGTTAGTGGCGGGGTCCGCGGCCTGGCTACAGCCTCAAAGGCCTGGGAAGGGGAGAGGGGTTGAGAAGGGGCTAGCGGAGCGGCCGCTGAGCGTCAGGGAAGCCGTGACTCCTGGCCAGTTGGAGAAAGTTTCCGCTTGTCCTGGGCGCGCGGAAGAGGGGGCGGGCGGGCTGTGGGTGTATTGATTGCTTTGACCAAGAGGGGCTTTCGTCAGGGTGGAGAGTGTGTGCTTGCGACCCGAGTGCCCGCAGCCCCTGATCCCGGCCCCTGGGAGCCTTAGCCCTGCGCTGCACCCGTGCCTGCCTCCTCAGCCCTGTCGCCAGCTCGGCAATCCTCTGGAGCCTGGAGACAGGGAGGGAAGGAAAGCACTCCTTGCCATCTGGTTCTTATTTCTGTGCATTGCAAAACCCCGAGAGAAAGCCAGGAGCGTCAGAGAGAGGAAGATTAACCTGGGTCCCTATCACAAGGGGAAAAGGCCGGAGGCCACTGCACAGCGGGCCTGTTTCCCGCAACACTGCACTTTGCCTAACTGGGAGCAGGAGAGCCGGGCTGGGAGCGGAGAGGCCTAGTGTGTGTGCGTGTGCATGTGTGTGTGCACGGGCGTGTGCATGTACTCACCCTCCTGCCCCAGCCACGGAGAATGCGTTTGGTCCTCTAAGTTGGGAAGCGGGCAGGAGCAGCCTCGTTGCTGGCAAGTTGGCCACAAAGTCACAAAATTGTATAGGGCTTGACCAACATCACAGGAGTTGTTGGGCCTGGGGGAAGGAGAAAAAGAACCAGAGGGAAAGAAGTGGATAGGGGAAAGGAGTGGGGGGAGAAGGGAGAAGGAAGAGAGGAACTTGGGTGAAAGCCCTGATGTGGAGCCTGTGTCTCTATCCAGCCAGGAAGGCCCAGGGCCTGGTGTACCTCAGGGAGCAGGACCCCCAGCTGCTGACAGCTGCCTGTGGGTGGGGGGTGGGTGTGAGTTTCTGGAGGTGTGTTTTGAGTTTAGGCGGCCGGGACCTGAGCCCATGGCCCTCTCACCCCTGCTGTTGAGCTCCTTTTCGTCTGATGAGGGGAGCGCCCAGGGTCAAGCCAAGGCCTCCTTGTGGAGAGAATTTCAGACACCAGGTCCAGGCAGAAGGTTCCCGGTGGAGGAAAGGGGCAGCTGGAGACTGCTCTGTGCTCCTCTCTTGCCTTCTCTTTTGCCCCTTTTCTGTCTCCCTGCTCTTTCCCCACTTTTCCACCGCCAGCTTTCCTATTTTCTCAACCCTCGGTCCTGCGCTCTGCGCTGGGATCCAGAGAGCAAAGTATGCGGTTCTACCCGGAGACGGGCCGGCCGGTGAGGAACCCGCAGCTCCGGGTGTGTGTTTGAGGGATCAGGGACGGGGTTACTGAGGGAACTCGACCGGTCGCAGGGTAGCCGGCTCAGTCTGAAGAGCCCCAGGGACTGCGGAGGGAAGAAGCGCCTGGCTCTCCTCCGACTTCTGCTGCTCCAGGGCTTGCAGTATTTTGCCGCTTGCACCCAGGCCTCCCCAGACGGCCGGGCTCGGGTTCTGCCTCTCCTCCGAGGCCAACCTCTATCTGAGAAGACTTGGGACGCTCCCGAAAGCAGAGTCGGGAGCGGTGGCGCGGGGGAGCCGGGTGGCGGGCCTCTGTGTCAGGGCGGGCGCGGCTCTCTTTCTCCCGCAGGCTCCAGCACCAGGCCATTGGACCGAGCGGCATGCGCTCGCTGGCCGAGCCCGGCTGCCCCACGCACGGCTCGGCAGAGTCGCCGTCCACGGCGGCCAGCCCGACCACCAGCGTGTCCAGCCTGACGGAGCGCGCGGACACCGGCACCTCCATCCTCTCGGTAACCTCCAGCGACTCGGAATGTGATGTATGATAGCCAAGGCCACCCTCCTCCCCCTCCTTCCCCTCCTCCCCCACTCCTTCCCCTCCTCCTCCTCCTAGCCCTCCTCCTCTTCCTCCTCTTCCTTCTCCTCCTCCATCCCCAGAACAAACCGAAATCAGGATACCCAACCATACACACATACAAGTCCACACACACTCCCACCCCAGTCAAAAATATATAAAAAACAAGAAAATAACAAATTAACCACAAACTATCAACAACCCCCAACCACCATCTACCACTACGGCCACCCCAAAGGACCCCGACGCCAACAGACAGTCAAACGCTGATGTTGCGGGCAGACAACATAAAAGAGGTGACAATTGTATACTTTCTAGGACAAGCACGGCTTCTCCTTTCGGTTCCCATGGACCCGGCACCCCACCTGCATGACGATTTATTTGTATCTGGGAAAATATTCTCTCTAGTTAAAAATGATTTAAAGAGTCGACTATACAAAAACCAATCACCACCACGAGGACAAGAGGACAAAAGCAAAACAGACAAAAAGAAAAAAAAAATCGCCATCTCCGTTCCGAATTTGTTAAAAAAAAAAAAAAGAGGGGGGGGGGAAGAACTCCTGGAGAGGGAAATAGCAAATGTTTCTCGCCTTTTGTTGCTCTCTCTCTCTTTTTTTCTCTCACTCTCTTTCTTTCTCTTCCTCTCTCTGTTTTTAAGTCCAAGTATTGGTCAAACAAAATGCAATCTTCTGTTTTTTGTTCAGCAGACAATCATTTTCTTCGTAAGCACCTTTTTCTCTCCACTCTGTCACTGCCTGTGTGGGTACTGGTTATAAATGTGGAAAAAGAATAGTTATGACTGTAACAGATTTTTATTTTTATTTCAAAATTTTATATGAATTATGTATATCTTAATGATCGGTCATTTTCCCAGTTTGTAATATATGTGTAGAAATTGCCTGTATATGATATTGCTTTTTTCTCCTCTCCCTTTCTCTTTCTCTCTTGTCCCTCTCTCTGTCTTCCTCCCTGCTCACCTGTCTCTTTTCTTTTTGGGATTCTCCTCCCACTCAGTGCTCCTGGTGTCGTCTTGGCAGTCAAGAAGAGGCATGGTGGCCTGGGTTAGGAAGAGGGACCCCATCGCTAGCGAAAGCGGAGAGTGAGATTGTAGTATTCTTATGCAAAAGCTATTTCCAGTATTTCTTAGCAGCTTCAGAGGTATCTCTCACTCCCTGTAGGGCGCTTTTACTGTTATCTTAAACTGCGTGTTTATCTATATGTAAAAACTTTCTAAAGCAAATACAGTATTCTCCATTTTCTTATCACTCCCAGAGACTGGTGTTTTTGTCCGCCCCTGGCCCGTAGCCGCGGGGTGCTCGGCCTTCACTTCCACTGCTGCTCACCTGAGCTGGGGCAGAATTTCAAGGCTGGATCTCAGCTTTTTTTTTTTTTTTTTTTTTTCTTCCCCTGAGGGCATTGGGAAGATCAGAACAGACCCTCCGGAAAGGAGCCAAAGCTGGATCCTGAGCAAAAAAGCAAAGAGGGTTCGAGGGTTGGGAGCGGGAGGCTACCGCCAGCTTCTTCAGAGTGAGACGCCAGACTCACTTCACTGCAGTATGCATTCAGCCGGAATTGTAGCCTGCCAAGACCCTGTGGGTCTTTGGGGGTGTGCTGGGCGTCTTTCAGTTGTTGTTGCTTTGTTTTTTAAAAGAAGAAACATACAAGGTCGCCAAACCCCAGCATCCATCCCGAGTAGAGCTGACAGGTTTTGTCATCTTTTTTGGGGGTGGGGTGGGGGCGGGGGACAGTGGCCTGAGTGGGGAAGGCAGGAGGAGTGAGGGAAGAGGCCTCTTGAGAGTTTAGGGCCTGGAATCAGGATGGACTCCCCTCCTTACCTCTTGAGTGTGTGTCTGTGTGACAGTGTGATTTGCCTTGCGACTCTCTGTCTCCCTGAAATTTCCTTCCATCTTTGGGGTTCAGCTGGAACCTCTTGAGCCCCTAAGACATTTCAGAGTTGGTTTACATTTTAAAATGAAAACCAAAAAATCACCACCTCTTACTAACCATGTTCCCACTGGCCCCAGGCCTCCAAGCCCTGGGCAGGGCCCCCACAATTCCCTGGGATGGCTTGGCTGGCCGTGCCTCTGCTGCTCTGGGCCAGGGTGGCCTGCACCCAAGGAGGAGCAAAAGAGGTAATTTCAGAAAACTTGCCTTTACTTGAAAGGCCAATTTCCAAAGCATGGAGGATTAGGGGGGAAACGTGCCTGGAATTTTGCATCCATTTCCAAACTAATTTTGACTTCCGATTTCCTTTTGTCCCCATCCCCAGCAGCACCAGGGGGGTTAGGAGGGCCAGGCTGGGCAGAGAGGCTGTCTGGCCCAGAGGTGCCCTGAGTGTTCCAGTGGGACCTTGCATGTCCGGGGCGTGCATTTGCCAGACAGGGAAGGTTCCTGAGCGGGCCCCTACTTAGAACCAGAGCATCCAGCTGACCTTCAGAGCTCCCAAGTTCTGTGGCCTGGCACATGGTGTCAGAATCTCTGTGTGTGTTCACTGCTCAGGAAAATGTTCCTTGTCCTGCCACATTTCAGGCAATATTGACCCAGGTGGTAGGAATTTGGGAAAAGGACTGTGTGGATTCTACCCAACTTGAGCCTCTGTTCTGGGATGAGGAGCTCTGTCACCCACCTTTGCTTTTAGATAATCAGTCACATACTTCACACAGAGCTTGGGCCTAGAAGCCCAAAGAAGTTCCTGCCTCAGTGGGGAGAGTCTGGATGGATCCTGCTCAGCCAACTGACCAGAACTGACGGATGAAAGGCAAGAAGTGGCACTGCTGGAGGGTGACTCCTGGAAGGGCCTGCCTAGATAGAGGACATCAGGGAGCAGGTGCCTCTTTGTCTAAGGGACAGGAGACAAACATGGAAGTTAAGATGATTTCCTATCTCAACACACAGTGCAGAGAAAGCAGATTGGGGCATCCAGTGCCCACTCCTGCATTGCAGGAAACTGTCCATCAGACTCCACAGCAGCCTTTAGTTTGGAGGGCCTGGGCCTTACTGCGTGTCAGCAGCCTGTTGTCTGTCTATCCTGCTATCTATCATGTATCACTCTCTCATCTCCTGTGTTTCCATCCAGGTCTGCACGAATACTAATACTCTATGCTTTGTACTTTCTGACCTTGCATATAGGTTCCCTGCAGGAAAGACGTGTGTGTGTTGTGGGTGTGTATATGTGTGCAATTCTGGATGCTGGGCTTTCAACACTCAGTCAAGGTCTGCATACAAAAGGATATGTGTGTGTGATGTTTGGTATAAATGTGTGTACAGTGCATTGGTGTGTGTCCAGTATGTTTTCATGTATATTGCATAACATAGGTATTGGTGTATGGCTTAGGCAGTTTCCCTGTCCTTATTTCTGCAAGGAGTGCATATTGGGGGGCTCCAATACACCTACAGGGTACTTGGGCATGTGTCTTGTGGGTCTTGGTTCTAGTGTAGACATATGTGGGTTCCCTTGTTCTAGACTCTCCCTAGATATGACTGCCAGGCTGCCCACCTCTAACAGGCCTTCCTGTCCCTTTAAGACACAAGGGATCTCAATGGGTATTCATCAGCTGGAGGGCAGAGGGGGATTGGGCTCTTTGGCTATCCCAGTCCATCCTTTATTCTGTTTGATTTACTGGGGATATTATGGTTGATTTGGCCTCTGCTCCTTTAAACATCGGAGTGAGAGAATAGAGGCCCCTTTCTGGCCAGATCTTGCCTTTTACCAGCTGCTGGCCTAGTCTCTTTCTGGGTCCCTCAAAGCCCTGGCCAAAGCGGTCAACACCCTACAGGCCACTCAGACAGAGCTTGAGGGCAAGGCCAGGCTGAAGTTCCACCTGCAGAAAAGCCATCTCAGTCACTGTGCACAGCCCCCACCTCCTGGGAATGTCGCAGGTTGTGCCTCGGCCAGGAGAATGTGTGCATTGGTGTGTGCTCTCTCGTAGGTCTTGTGAGCCTGGGTCAGGCCCAATATGCAGGCCTAAGTGCTAACCATCTGTCCCCTATGTCTGGGCCATGCAGCAGCCAGTAGGCTGGCTTCTCTGCTTCTGGCCTTCCAGTGAGTCCTCACCCACTACCCTGCACGCAGCACACTTCTGCCTGGCATCCCAGCGGAGTGCTCTGGCTCGGAGCCTCCCTGCGTGCTGAAGCCTCCTGTGTACCTGAGTCACCTACCCTAAGTTTCGAGAGGCTTGAGGAATAATAGCTAACTTGGCTGTTTTCTCAAAGAAAAATAATGACAATCCAGGATTTGCATTGGAAACCTGAACAGGCAGAATGGGGTGTGAAACTGGGCAAATCTGTATCAAAATCCTTGACCCCTAGAAGTGCCTGCCTGAGGGACGAGGCCCATCTACCCCTTCTGGCTTGCTCACTGTCCCCCCACCCAGCTCTCTTCCGTCCCTGCCCCCAGCCCTGGCCCTGAGCCCCCACCTGGCCTCTCTTCTTGCCCTCCTTGAATCCTGCGGAATCGACTGCCCAGTGCCAGTGCAGTTGATTATCCCCGGCGAGACACACAACTGATTAAAATGAAATGACCCGGAAGCTGCCACGGCGCGGGGCGGAGATGCCGATCAATAGTGGGGCTGGAGGCACATGAGTCTGGCCAGTCCCGGCTGGGAATGGGGTTGAAGACGGAGGGCCAGCCTGGGGGGTGCCTGAGACTTTGGGCGTGGAGATGGTTCAGTGAGGCAGTGGGAAGGCCCGTGCCTGGGCTTGCCGAGGGGGCTGTGATGGTGGAGTGGCCCTCAGGTTCTTCTGCAAGGAGAATGGGACAGCCTGGTACATTCTCGACCCAGCGCATCACCCGGGCCCCCGGAGCTCGAAGCCCAGTCCCAGGCCTGTGGCGCACTGGATGCACTCGGCCTCTTGGAGCAGTCTCTTCTCCCTCTCTTCTTCCTCTGCCTCTGTGGCCCTGTCAGTCCCGCCTAAGCCTTTGTGTGGCCGTCACCTGGA